TTCTGAAGAGGGTGAAACAACAGGTTTTGTAACTAGCTGATTCTGGTTTTGTGATTTAACAAATTATTTCAGTTAGAGGGCTATGTTTGGTTTTGAGTAACAGAAAAATACCATCAATGGTCCTTAAATATGTTAAGATTTTCCCTCTTCAAGTGGTGAATAGTGGGGAGTCAGGACTTTGGCCTGGATATTGTGGCTCATGGATGTCACCAAGGTTCCTGCCTCCTGCCTCCCATTGTCTTCCCATCCTACAATCCTTATCATGGAATGTTTATCCTCATTATTGCAAGATGGCTGTTGCTCCTCTTTGCATATCACCCATATTCTGAACAAAAAGAATAGGGAAGGAAGGTGGGCAAAAGGTATGTGTCAACTGTTCCGTTATTAAAAAATCAAAATCTTTTCCACATTTCTACCCAGTAGATTTCCAGTTATATTTCAATGGCCAGAAAAGTGGCACATGGTTGCCACCAGCTGTGTGAAAGCCTGAGGATGTGATTTCTTTAGCTGGGTATATTGGGGGGCTAGGAACATAGGAACTGGAAGCTAGATTACCAGTTAGAATCTCAGTCTCAGCTCTACACCTCAGTGGGTATGTGACTTTTGGTTATTCATTTTCAGTTTCCTCTCCTCCTGTAAAATAGAGATACAATAATAATAGGGTTGTTAAGAGATTGAGTGAATTTTTGTGAAGGTTTCAGGAGAGTATCTGGTACACAGTAAATGTTATATTTATTTCAATTAATAAGAAAGGAGGAGAGGAGAATGGATATTGGGTGGAAAAGTAGCAAGGATGAATTAAATAATAAAAAATAGAAATAGAAATATTGCTAACCTATGAAACAGACTTATGTAGTATAAGTAATAAATGTCTTTCATGTAGATATCTTATGGAGATAGTTATTTAAGACAGATTTGAATTCTGAGCCTTGTTCCACCACTAACTATGTGACCTTCTGTAAGTCTTTTTGCCTTATTTAGAAAATAAGGAGGTGATATACCTACTCCCAGGAGTCTAGGAAAGGTTAACTGAGGAAGTATAATAAAGTATGTAGCCTAGATCCTACTGGACAGCAAAGCTTAATGTCACCACTAACAATGCCGTACATAATTATTTTTTAAAATCAACTTTATTGAGGTATAATTTATATTACAGCCAGAGCAGGGAGCAGAACACATGAATTTCACTGCAAAGCGGGCGGCAAATGTCCACTCCTGTGGAGCAACCTCGAACCGGCACCAGACGCGCGCAGCTTCGCAACCCAGCGCTCAACCGCTCCACCGGGGATCCCCATAATTATTTTTTAAAACAACTTTATTTCAAAATAGCAGACATGAAACTGATGTCTTAGCCACTAATAATACAAAGGAGAATTCACTATGTAAAGAAACAGATGGTATCAACTATAAAAATAATGAATAGGTGCTAGCTAGAATTACAAAATCAGGGGAAAATAGCTGAAGGAGCATTCATTTTTGAGGGGGTTGGGGAACTGGCCAGGTACATTATATGTCATTGCTTCTGCCTATTCAGCAGCAATTCCCTTTTCTCCTGTTAACAGCGCTTGGCTTGTTCTTTTGGGTGATGACTCCTCCCCAATGCTTTATGTTTTAGAAGTGGGGCTGTTTCCCCTTTGGCTCTGGAGTAGTAATTTCTGCTCAAATTCTTGGAAAGAAAATTCTTACTCCTAATATTGCTGGATGTAATTTTGGAGATGCAGAGAAAGCCACTGAGAATGAGGGCCCCACAGAGGAAGGTCAGTTGGAGGGCGGGAAGGAGGGAGAAACCTTTTGCTGATGTCTGAATCCCTGAGGCAACATCTATCCTCAGCCCACAGTTACATGTGGACCTTCATCATGGATCAGCTGTTCTCCAGCTTGTTCAGGAACCAATGAATGAGTGGCCTGTGGCTGCCTCTGATTATGTGGGCTCAGAGATAACATATAAGAGTGTATTTTCCCATTTTCTGCTAATGGAAGGTAATTATATGGCAATTGTAAAGTTAATTGGACAATTGAAGTCTATTCTCCACAAGTAAAGAAATAATAGGAGTATAAAATATACTGATACTTAAAGTAGAACTGTTTAGACTAGTATTTGAGTAATTTGATGGAATTCAGACATTAATCCAAAGAATTTAGGCTAGATTTCCTAAATTATTTCTATATTTCATAGGAAGGTGATTTCTGGGACTTAACTCTTTGCGTTAATGGCAACAACCTGTGTTGTCCATTGATTCATTGTTTTGTGCTTATTAGATACTTGTCCCTTCCCTTGGCATGTTCCTTTGAAGTACTCTGCTGTCTGAGAGCTAGGCTGTTGTGGTGGCAATGAGCAACACAAAATCTCTACCTCACAGAGCTTATTTTCTAGGAGGAGAGAGATGATTGCACCCTCTATGTACCAGTTTCTGTTCTCAATACTACTGTATTCTGATTCTCTTTTTGCTGATAATGTTGTTTGGAAGTCTTCTGTGAAAATTCTGCATCATTCGTAGGAAATTTACCTATTATCCATATATTAACGTATTTGTATATAATTGGGTATATTAAGATATATGTTTATGTGTATATGTGTACCATATACACTTATTAGCTAGGTAACCTATTCAGGTTACAACCCTGAATCTCACTTTGTCACCTGAAAAATGGGGATTAGCACAGTATCTATCTCACCTTATAGGGATTGAATGTTTATAAAGAAATAATTTAGTATAGTATCTGATACAAACAAAGCACTCAACAAATGATAGATAATATGGTATTATTTGTGTATATATAAATATTACTTTATATGAATTGATTCAGTTTCCCTCAGTAGGATAAAAAAATAATTGTGGACCTTATTTTGTTTCACTCAACATTTTTTGAATCCTTACCATATGCCTGACCCACCAAGGCTGACTCCTTTTTTTTTTTTTTTTCCCAGAAATGACTACAACAGTATCTCTTGTTTTGTCACTCCCCCATCTAGAGGTACGGTCTAATTTCCATCCCTTTGAATCTCTGTGGGCTGTGACTCGCTTCTCAGTGGCTCCAGTCTAGTCATTTCTGCTGGAATTCTTGGGAAGAAAATGAAGCCAGTGAAGCTAATGAAAGTGGTCGAAGTGTATGACTTTCAAGGTTGGGTCATAAAGAGGATGCAGCTTTCCCCTTGTGATCTGGAACTTGGATTTTTGAGGCCACCATACAGTGATGGAAGCCTACTTAGGCCACGGAGAGGGAACATAGGGAGAAACCTTGAGCCCATCTAAAGAGAAGCCCATCATGACTAACCAAGACTCCAGGTCTTGTAGCCATCTATCGAATGATACACCAAAGACACAAAGCCAGAACCACCTAGCCAAGTTCTCCTCAACTTCCTGACCCACAGAGATCACAAAAGAAAAAAAAGTGTTGGTTGTCCTTTCAACCCATTAAGTTTTGGTGTGATTTGTTATGTATCAGTAGAAATCTAGAATGCCTACCTTTAAGTGCTAACACAGTATGAAACAGATTTACTCTCATTAAGTTTCCATTTGAGATCTTTCTCATCCTTGGTCAGTGAGGGCCAAGAATATTTTCAGGGTTTTCATTATCCATTAGATAGCTGTTTGCACCTGCTGTTAGGTCTAAATTTGTAGGTATAACTAGCAAGTAGATTACAGTCATTCACTCACTTTTGCATTAAATAAATCAATTTCTTAACATAGGGACTTTCTCTCCTCCACTAAGTAAGCAACCCTTTCTCCATGTGCCTACCCACACAGATTTCTCCTATCCTAACTTATGCAGCATTGCTATTGCTTGTTTGCTTCCTTTCCCCTCTGGCCAGTGACAATGAAATTCATTGTGTTAATCATCTTTTTATCCCTAGGCTAGCCTAGTGCCCACACATAGCAGATCTACTTAAAAACAACAACAACAACAACACAAAAATCCCACTTAAGAAAAACTGCTAGTTCCTTGATGTACAGATAATTTATTCATAATTCAGTACTAGACCCTGTGGGATCTAGTCTGGTATCTGCAGAGTGAGCTGCCTGAATTGAGTTCTATGTTTGAACTACCCAGCAAAGCATTGGGGGTGGAAGGTGGAGAGGGACAGGTAAAGGATCCATTCATTTATTCGGTATTTATCAATCAATGTAGCACACAGAGCATACGGGCAGCATTGAGTATCTTATTAAATGCCAGTCACTGTGCTTAGTGTTGGGCATGCAGCAGCTCACAAGAAAACTGCTGTGGCCGGTGCCCTCCTGAAGCTCAGCCTTTAGCGAAAGACGAGAGGCGGTGAGTGTAATTATGTAAAATTGTGCTAGGTGTCGGGCAGAAAAACAACAGGGGGCTGAAACACACTGAGGATGTTCGCTCCTTTGCCTGGGGGCGGGTTTTGAGCAGGAGTGGCCGCGAGGGGGACGGACTGTAGGGGGCGGGAAGACTGCAGGCAAGAAGAGCTGGTGATTTTAAGATGCAAATGTTTTCTGCCGAATGAGAAGCCGGACCCTGTGCCTAGAGTCGACAGGGTCTCTCGGTGCGGGCAGGGCCATGCCCGGCCAGGGGGCTGCGTTTTGAGTGCAAGTTCGATTGCCCAGCAGCTCAGCGTGAGGTCGCGGGGAACGGAGCCCTAATTCCTAGTTTCTTTTCGCCGAGGCCCCTCTGCCCTCCAGACCGCGATACACACCGTCTGGGGCTGGGGCTCGGAGGCGAGGTCTGAGGAGGCGAGCGGCCCTCGTCCGGCCGCTCTCGCCCTGAAGCGCGGGGTCTGCAGCCCGGCGCGGACTCCGGGGGGCGGAGCTTGTGCTGCGGACCCGGGCGGTGGCGTGAGCCCCGCCCCCCCGCCCAGCCTCCGCCTCCGGCCCTAGCTGATTGGATGAAAGCCGCGGAAGGGCCGGGCCTCCCGGGGAGGCCGGGGGGTCGGGCTGAGGCGGGCGCGCTGATTGGTGCGGCCGGCATTAGGTCATCGCCAGCACGTTTGGGCGGCCCGGACGCCGGTGGGGCGGCGAGGCTGCTGTGAGAGGGCGCCCGGGGTTGCTGGCGAGCGCAGAGCCAAGGAGGCGGGGAGGCGGTGGCCGCGCTCGCTTGCCCGCCCGCTCGCTTCCCGGCGCCGCTGCGGGTCCGCCGCTGCGCTTCCTGCTCGCCGGCCGCCGGGCTGCGCTTCGCCGGGGCAGCCGCGCGCCCGCCGCGTCCCAGCCCGCTCGGGGAGCCTTGCGCACCGCGGACACCGCGCCGAGGGCGAGCCGGCGCCTCACCTGTGGAGCCGGCGGCGTCGGGGTGCCGCCTGGGGTCCCCTCGCGTGCGGGCCGAGGGCCACCCGGGCCCTGGGGGAGGCGCGCCCCCCGGCTGGGCGCCGCGGGCACCATGGGTCTCCCCGCGCTCGAATTCAGCGACTGCTGCCTCGACAGCCCGCACTTCCGAGAGACGCTCAAGTCGCACGAAGCGGAGCTGGACAAGACGAATAAATTTATCAAGGAGCTCATCAAGGACGGGAAGTCACTCATCACCGCGCTCAAGAGTGAGTGGCCCCGGCCCGGCGGGGACGGGGGTTCCGGGCGGGAGCGCGGCGCTGGCCGCTTTTTTGGTGCCCCTGGGGCGCCGAGGGACGGCTGCGGATGCTGGTCATGAGGCGGGAAGGGTATGTAAAATGGGCGAGCCAGCAATACTATGAGGAAGAAAGAGACCCGTCGCCTGCTGTTGGCATTCCGGGATGGCTGGGAGGTGGCCGAGCGCGAGAGGTGCCGTGGGCGCCGCGGTGGGGGTGCGCGGCACACAGGTGTCCCGGGAGTGGCGCGCTGGCGCTCGGCGCGCCGCAGCCTGTGGGGGAACCCCCGAGCGTCCACGACGCGGGTTCCTCTTGGGGAAGAGTTGCTCACCCCTGGGCGCCCAGCCTTGGGAACGGATTGTGCCGGGCCAAGGGTGCGCTGCCTCTCCTCGGGAAAAGGCGAGTTGTGCCTGCTCGGCTCCGAGGACGCAGCCCCGTGCTGCTCTGCGCGGCTGGGTGCTCCGAAAAGCACCGGCACAGCCCAGAGAGGGGTTGGGTGGCGTGGTCGGCTAGCCTCGCTCTCCATTCTTTGGAGTAGGGCAGCCAGTAACCCCCAAGTCTTGACTCAGGATGATGTACGTGTGCAGGTTCTGATTCTTGGATTTAGCAGAAGGTGATAGGGGTGGGAGTACAGAATCAGAGTGTTCTTTTACTCTAAACTGTGGGCGAGGGTTTAAAAATAGAACGAACATATCCTGACGCTCTCCCTCTCTGGCTCCCTCGCTCTCCCTTTTACCTCGCCCATTATCCTTGAAAACGCCAAAGTCTGAAAGGAATGTCGTCTGTCCACTGAAAAGTTTAAACTCATGCTTAAACATTTTCGAACCTTTTGCTTATTTCCCTTTGCTTGGGGAGAGATGAAATTTGCATTCTGGGGAGTGGCTTTCCCTTGGCTTTTGCAGAGCTAAAAAATTTCTTCCTCTGGTCAGTTAACCTGCTCAGGGGATGACCACCTTGGATGGTGAAAGCATTTTTTGGTTGTCTTGTCAGCCTACCTATTTAAAAATAGTTCGGTCTATCTTAGTTTTCAGAATCAGGACTAACATGGGGGTAGATAGTGAACTGCCTTTGACTTTAGTTTTCTTGTTGCTGGGATGGATTTCTTATCTTTTCTCTAGGTAAGGTTTCATTGGCAGAGGAAGGTCCTAAGTGTGAGACTTGTCCCCAGGCCTCTTTTAAAGATTTACAGAAGTCAAATGCCCGTGGTGTCATTTTGGGAGCCTGTTGTTTCTAAAAAATGAAGAGGAGAGATTGTGGAGCCCCAGGGCTGTCAGTGCCAATCTTTTGGGGTGAAATAGACTTAGAGCTGTGACATGTCTAGAGGCTTCTCAGAGGCAGTCTTTCTGGAGGCTGGGACCTAAAATATAAACAGATTCTTTTTTGTCAGTGATAAGGGACATCTTTGGTTCAGTAAACACATCCCTGGTTTGGAGTAAGTTAGGGGCTCACATTTAGGTAGGGACCATGAATTTTTATTGGGCCTCTGCTTTATTCAGCTAATGTTTGGAGTGTGCGCTGTGTGCTGGACACTCAGGATAGGCACTGCTTCACCCATGAGTTATCTCATAGCCCTTACTCATTTTACAAATGAGAAAGCAGTCTTGGGTGAATCACTACCCCAGAGCTACACAGCTCTAGCAGGTCTTAGTTTTGAACCCCCACATGAGCTGAGCTAGAGATGCAGTGCCTGGCGCTGCAGAGCTCTTAATTCTGCCATGCTGCTTGTCCAGAATGGATCCTTGGACCATGCCCACGGGAATTTGGACTTGCATTTAGTATGCTGACCTTGAATCTGAAGAGGGTGCATTTGAGTGATAGACAATTTGCTTGATACTATTTTTTTGCAGGAGTGCTAGGGGATTTGGTAAGAGTTCTCTGGGTAGGAATGAGAGGGTTCAAATGTTATTGAAGTTATGTAGTGCACTGGAACAGCCTATCACTTGGGGAGGAGACTGATGGAGAACTAGGTTTTCTAATCTCTGTAAGTCCATTTCTTACTACTAAGTCTTCCATTGCTACTAACTACTAATTGAACTGGTCATTTAACCTCTTAAAATAAAGAGGGTAGCGTTCATGCCCCAGACTTTAGGCATTCTATTGTCATTAGTACTTGGTGCGTTGAATGCCTCTCTATTTGTACGTGCTTTTTATTTTTCTCCATATCATCCTTGTCACTACTGTAAAGCCTGTGTTTTAAAAAATGAATATATAAAACAGACATGTAATTATTTAAGTAATATTTGGTTGATTTTCAGTCTCTTCAAGCTCTAAAATTTTATGATTTTATTTTTAATTAGTATTGACAGATTGTTGGGCTTAAATTTGTGCGTTAAGGCAATAAAATTGGCCTCCAGGGGTTGCCATAGTTCAATTAGGTTATTGTTATTGCTGCTTCCTTTTATAAAGGAGGAAACTAAACATCAGGGAGGTCAGTAACCTGCTGAGGGCTACACAGCAATTAAATATATATAAGCACACATTGTCTGATTCCAAAGCTTGTGGACTTAAACCCTGAAGTAAAGTTGTTGTCTACATTAGTTGTCTCTTGACTTGCCTTGTGAATCTGATAAACAAGAGTCTGGACTCATGAGAGTAGTAAACTAATTTGGGTCCTACATTTCAAAAAGTCCTGATTTTTGTAGAAAATTCTTATTTGATGTGGAGTAGAGTCTTGGTGACTCCCAGGTGGGTTTTTTCTGTGCTGATTTGCGCCAGACCTTTTCTGTGGATACCCATTTAACCAGGGCTCTTTTTCCTTGACCTGATCAGTCGGTGTCCCTGTCAAGAGGATTGTGTATGTAAGGGCTCTTTTTCCTTGACCTGATCAGTCGGTGTCCCTGTCAAGAGGATTGTGTATGTAAGGGCTTTTTTTCTTTCAGTAGCGATTGATAGGGCCTGGAGATGAAGTTCAGACTGGAAGAATTAAAGATTTTCGGGATTCCTTGGGTTTGAATCTTTATCCCATCACTTACTGGTTGACTCTGGGCAAGTTACTAAAGCGGAGCTCCTCTGGCATGAAAAGGGAATAGCCACTCTGACCTCCTAAGGTTGTTTTGGGTATCAGTGCATATCAAGAAAGCATTTAGGGGGAAATCTGGTGCAGAGCTTTGCTCAATGAATGGTAGTTGTTTCTATTTATCAGGGTTATCAAGACTTGGAGCAAAAGTCTCTAAGAGCAGAGAGACATTTTTCGGTTTGGGTGCAAGGAGCTATTTAGGCAGTGCCTCCTTCATGTCTGTTATTGGCAGCTTAAACACTTGTGTGTGTATTAACAACTGGGGAAGAGTCCTGATAGCCCTATGTGTATAAAGTTGTGATTATTGTTAAAAAGAAAAGAATTCAGTCTCTTGACATCTTTTTTTTGTTCCCAAATAGCATTCTGGTAGCTTCAGTTTTCAACGTTCTTGCTGAATTAACTTCCCTCCTCAGTGGCTGGGCTGGTTGCTTCTCCGTAGGAAAAGCTTGCAGAATACACTGGATACATTGGACTTCATGTCTGACTGTCTCACAGACTCAGTGGCAAACCAAATGTGGTTTCATAGAAATGAAAATGAATTAGGCTGTTGATTTTGAGTGTTGTTGTTGGTTTTTAGAAACTGTATTTCTTTCCCTCTTGACTATTTATGGACTTGTTGCTGGGGATAGCCCCCTTTGAATTTGATTTCTGGTTTCTGAGAGAGTGTGAGAAGTGCAGTTTTAAAAATATCAACTTTGTTGAGATATACTTCACTTCACCATCTAGGTCATCCATTTACATCATCCAGTTACATAGTTTTTAGTATGTTGTACAATCTTAGAACATTTTCATTACCACCAAAAACCCCATTCCCATTAGCATCACTTACCCCTTTCTCCCAGCTCTTCTTTCTCCCCACAGCCTGAGTCAACCACTCATGTATTATCTGCTTCTATAGATTTGCCTACTCTGGAAATCCAAAGTACAATTTTAATCACTTTATCCTAGATAGTGGTAACCAACTTTAGGCACACATTTCTTGATTCTAATTTCAGCTGGAGAAACCTCAAATTAATAAGTTACTCTCCTTCAGATTGGAGGGAAGCTGCTTATAGAGATGCGGTCCTAAAGAATAGACCATGTCCCAGGGTCTAGAAAAACTCAGGTGTGCCTTTGTGTTTCCAACCAATGAGAGGGGAGTGGATTCTAGTTTATGGTACATTGATGGGAGCAGAGGAGATAACTGAAGTGATACTAAGAACCCAGTCCCTTCTCTCAGTGAGCTTTCAGTCAACTTGGGACATGTGGGTGTGATTCTGAATAGAGCCTTACTCTGTGGTCTGTCTGCTTGCTTGCTTGCTTCCTTCTTTCTTCCTTCCTTTCTTTCTCTTTCTTACCTTTCTTACCTTTCTTTCTTTCTTTCTTTCTTTCTTTCTTTCTTTCTTTCTTTCTTTCTTTCTTTCTTTCTTTCTTTCTTTCTTTCTTTCTTTCTTTCTTTCTTTCTTTCTTTCTTTTTTCTTTCTTTCTTTCTTTCTTTCTCTCTCTCTCTCTCTCTCTCTCTCTCTCTTTCTCTCTCTCTCTTTTTTTTCTTTCTTTTTTTCTCTCTCTCTCTTTCTCTTTTCTCTCTCTCTCTCTCTCCCCCCCCCTCTTTCCAATCTGAAGGAATTGTGTTTATATTTTTCAAGTTAAGCCCATCATTTTTGTCTTTTTGGAAATGACCTGTCTTTTTCATTGCATTCTGGTAGTTAGTAATTCTCTCTCCTGTACATCTTCCAGGCAACCACAGTGAATTTTAACAGGTAGAATAAGAAATAAGTAGATAGTCTAATAAGAATGCTAGCAGCTCTTGATTACCGAGCATTTAGCAAGTGCCCAGTCCTATGCTAAGTGCAATTATTGTTTCATTACCCCTTACCTCCATCCTGTGAGATGCATACTCTTGTTTTTCTGAATTTTCTAGTTGGGAGAACTTGTAGAAGGTCACACAGCTAGGAAGTTGTGCAAATAAGTTTTGATC